GCCCCTCCCTGTCAGCGCCACCGCGCCACCCTCGCCGCCCTTCAGCTTCCAGCTGCCGCGCCGCTTGTCCGAGTCGCCGGTGTTCGATGCGCCTCCCAGTCCCCCGGACTCGCTGTCGGACCGCGACAGCTACTTGAGCGGCTCCCTGAGCTCGGGCAGCCTCAGCGGCTCCGAGTCCCCCAGCCTTGACCCCGGCCGCCGCCTGCCCATCTTCAGCCGCCTTTCCATCTCCGACGATTGAGGCAAGAGGGCGCCAGTGAGGAGAAAAGGAAAGCCGTTCAGGGGTGTTGGAGGGCTCCCCCGCCGTTATCGCCCCTGCTAGGGGCTAAGGGGCACGGGACTGTGAGGGGTGACAGGCCACGAGCAGACTGCAGGCCGTACCGAGCACTTGGACTCGAACTTGTGTGCTGGGAGGGGCCCCCACCCCTCCCCTTTCGGTTTCCTCTTGTTTTTTTTATTATTATTATTTTTATTATTATTACGAAGTTTCATTCATGTTGAGCAAAAAAAAGCAGCCAGCGAACTTTTTGCGTTGATGAACAAAATATTCACAACAGGGCAGTTGTGATGCGAATAGAACAAAAACCAAACACTTAAAACTTTTTAAAGTCTCCGATGAGTTTGAGACTTTAGGAAAAATCAACCCAGCACCAGCAGCTACCAACCACCATTCCATATCTTCACTTGAAAAGCATTAGTTACAGTCCAGATGTGGGGACTCTTATCGTGAGAGAAGTTCCTAATTGTTTGCCTCAGACCAGTGTAAACAAACCAGCCAGCCACCACTTTGCTAAACCTATAAGCTTTTAGAACCCAGTATTGTGCCGAGAATATGCCTTAATAGTAGCCCTCAGCTCTATAGGTGTTTTTTTTTTTTAGCAAAATTATATATGGTTTAGGAAAAAAAAACTTGCATTCCAAAGTTTCATACAGGTTACTGGTTTCATTGTCACCACATAGTGGATGTTTAATTTAGAACCATTTTGTCTGCTCTTTCTGGAAGCCTTGGGCAGAGATTAGTTTGTAATTGTTGGGGAATAACTGCTGAATTTTTAGCTGTTTTGAGTTGATTCGCACCACTGCACCACAACTCAATATGAAAAAACTATTTAACTTATTTATTATCTTGTGAAAAGTATACATTGAAAATTTTGTTCATACTGTATTTATCAAGTATGATGAAAAGCAATAGATATATATTCTTTTATTATGTTAAATTATGATTGCCATTATTAATCGGCAAAATGGAGTGTATGTTCTTTTCACAGTAATATATGCCTTTTGTAACTTCACTTCGTTATTTTATTGTAAATGAGTAAAAAAAATCTTAATTTAAGAGATTGTATGTAATATTTATTTCATTAATTTCTTTCCTTGTTTACGTAAATTTTGAAAGATTGCATGATTTCTTTACAGAAATCTATCTTGATGCTGTGGAAGTAGTTTGAGGAATATCTTACGAGTTTTAGAATGTATAATGGTTGTAGCCCATCCAACTTTAAAGAAAAAAAGTGACCACATACTTTGTGATCAGGCTTAAATGTGGCATACTTTTCTCATTCCAACTTTATAAATTAGCAAAAAAGTTTTTTGCTTGCTTATTCCACCAGTTCTACTGTGACATAACTGCGTATAAAGACATGTAGCAATAATTGGGGGGGAGGGGGGTTAGTCTTACAGTGCCTTTGGAAGGGCCAGAACTTGCCTTAAATCTTCCTCAACCAAATAAGTATTTTCATCTATTAGTGCTTGAG